GAGCGGTTCTCAGCCAAATGTGAAGCAGCTGGGATGAGAATCAGCTCCTCTAAATCCGAGACCATGGTCTTTAGTCGGAAAAGGGTAGAATGTCTTCTCCGGGTCAGGGATGAGGTCCTGCCTCAAGTTGAGGAGTTTAAGTATTTCAGGGTCTTGTTCACGAGTGAGGGAAAGATGGAAAGCGAGATTGATAGGCTGATTGGTGCTGCATGTGATGCGGGCGTTGCACCGGTCTGTCATGGTGAAGAGAAAGCTGAGCTGGCAAGCAAATTACTCCATTTACCGGTCAATCAACATTCCTACCCTCACCTATGGTTACAACCTTTGGGTAGTGACCGTAAGAATAAGATCAGAATACAAGTGGCCAAAGTGAATTTTTTCCACAGGGTGTCTGGGCTCTCCCTTAGAGATAAGGTAAGAAGCTCTATCATCTGGGAGGGGCTCGAAGTAAACCCGCTGCTCCTCCACATCAGGAGGAGCCAGTCGAGGTGGTTCAGGTATCTAGTTAGGATGCCTCCATGGGCACCTCCCTGGTGAGGTTTTCTGGGCATGTCCAATTGGTGGGAGACCTAAAGAAAAACCCAGGACACACTGGAGGGACTATGTCTCTCAGCTGGCCAGGGAACGCCTTAGGATTCACCCAGAGGAGCTGGCCCAAGTGGCTGGGGAGAGGGAAGTCTGGGCCTCCCTACTTAGACTGCTGCCCCGGAACCCGATTCCGGATAAGCAGACGAAAATGAATGGATGTTTTTGGTGTGTCTATCTTCACTTTCTCACATGCCAAATTGTAGGAAAATATCTTAATTTGTTGTGTACAGGTCCTAAGTTTCCCTTCTACATTTCTTGGGATTTGTTGATGGACATACAACCTTTGATGGACAACCTTCATTTCTAGAAGGATATGATCTCATCTTGGAACACTGCAAACCTCTTGTGTGTGTGCACGACGGATGAAGAGGAGGGTAGAGGTCATGAAAATATGAGGAATCATTAAGCCGTCACACATTAAGTGAGGCTTGGTAGTTTCACCGTGTGGGTAGAGGACGGTGCCAGCTTCCTGTGTGTGTGTGTCACTACAACGACACACACTCCTGTTCACACTCGAAAGCCAAATGACTTTTATTGCTCCATGGAAAGGCGAACTCAAGCTGCAATCAAAAGAACATCATCAAGTTTTGTGGTTTGTTTTGCTTCTAATCAGAATAAAAAACTAAGAGTGTTTTTGTTTTATTTGGCTTCCTTTTTTTTTTTTTTTACTAAACTTTCTACCTCTTGCCTTACACCAAAACAGCTAACAACCTGGTGCTGGTGAGGCTTGGCCGGGTTGTTTCTGTGGTTTTTCATCCTCCCCTCTGCCCTACCTGCCTCTGCAAACTAGGTCTCCTCCACAGTGGTGAGCTAGCAAGGAAAGGTGCCTGATGTAAGCGCTATTTGATACATTGAGGTTTCCCCCTACTGAAAGTTAATGGGAATTCCTTTGCTAGCAAGACATGTAGCCGTGCAGAACGAGCGTTGTGGTATGAAAAATAAAGACATGATAATCCTGCATCCAAGAACAATCGGCTCATTGTAGCGAGCTAAAGGTAATGACAGAGAAACCGGAGTCTGAAGTAAACAAAGATTAGATCAGTCTCCAGCACAAACATAAGCCCACATAACAGCACGAGACGCCATGCAGTTGCAACTGCAGCCATCTCAAGGCAATAACCCTGACAGCAACAGTCTATCTTTGTTTAGCTCTGAAACGGTACGCTGGTGAGTCAACTCACCCAAGCCGGCTTAACTGTGGTAACTTTAAATGATGCGCTTCCAGGTTTTACACTCCAATAAAACCTAATTGGGTTCCAATTCAGAGAAACACATAAAGCGGCGCTCACATATCTTTGCCCCAGGTGTAAAATCAAATATGTTACTTTCACTGTGGCTCTGTGACCGCAAACCTCACCACACGCCTCTGCCTTTTGGCAAGAGGGGATTTGGAACCACGAGCACGTGTTTTTTAATGCACTATGCCTTAAATTATTAGAGCTGCTCTGCAGATCATTCTCTCTCTCGCCCCCTCACTATCTTACACACGCACACACAGAGTGAGAGAGAGAGCCATTCACTCTGATGATTATGTAGAACAAAGCAGCAGCCGAATCAGTGTGTGTGTGTGTGTGTGTGTGTGTGTGTGTGTGTGTGTGTGTGTGTGTGTGTGTGTTTGGGAGACAAAGAATGAATCTTTCAACCACTCCCTGATTTCGAGGATCAAAGCGTCGTGTTTAAACGCAAGCTCACACCCACCTGGTCCTCAGGGTCTGACAGAATCCCAACCTTGGCGAGGCCCAAGAACACGTAGAGGCTACATGTGAGCTCACAGTACGACAAAATTCTCCATTGGATCCCCCAGACCCTCAAAGCAGAGCACTTCAACACCCGAAATAAGAAGAATTTCAGACAGAAGCTGAACTCTAGCCAAAAACACCACGCAGTGAGCAACCAAAGACTTTAAAAAACAGGACACCACGGCAAGAAGGACTGAGGAGCTTGCAACACATCTGGCAGCGATGCATAGTTTAGCTGCTGGTGACTGTCAAACAGATGGATGAACGCTTCACCTCTGGACTGCTGCTTACTGAGGCTCTAAAGTCGTTAGCAACAAATTATCGAATACCTACGCAGCTCTGCAAAAGATATGTTATTCTAGGCTGTGGCACTGAACCTGGAAAACTGCAACAAAGCATTATATTCAGAGGGGAAAAAAACACCCCAGCGAACGTTTTGGCTGGTACACTGCAGGACACAGCAGTCATTGTAGTCAAACTGCAGCCACATTTATAGGGTTTAACCTCGCGAATTATGTTAAAAACTTTCAGTTGGACGAGAATGAATAAAAAAGTTTTTCATATAGAAATTTTTTCATCTCAAACATTTGAACCATATGTTTTGTGTTGAGATGATTGAGATGCATCGAGAAATGAGGCCGGTTTTAAAGGTTTTTCAACTTCTCTGACAGGAAAATGAAATCTTCGGCAAACAACTGTAACGGCAAACAACTGTAACATATAAGCCAATAACTCCTATTTTTTATCATCTGTCAATCATAGAATTATTATTTCTTACAAATACTGCATTTGCAAAACTTTTGATTTAAATACCTTTAAAAAATAGTATTATGATACAAAAAACTAATTTGAGGAATATTAAAGAAATCCAGAAAATGTAATAACTTTTGCTGCTGTATGTTAAATCAGCATTCTGCAACATTTAATGAATAACATTATTGTAAAGCTGTAATGTCCTGTTAAAGCATAAAAAACATTGTAAAGAAAGTTGTTTTAGAAAATAATGTTTCAGGTATAGAACTAACTAAATGAACATCATTTAACACCTGGAAAACAACTGAAGATGTCCCATTTGTTTACATGTAGGAGGCGGGACTCAGATTTTATACTGCTGCCAGTCTCTTGGTGGCATTTGTTTCTTTGTAACATTCTTGTGTCTAATTATAACTTGTGTAAAAGGTCAAAACAGTTTGTTTTGGATGTGCAAAATTGCATTAAAGCAGTTTTCTTTCTCAAAGGGGAACAACTGGAGGTGGAAAACTGCACTTTAAGCCCTTCGCCCTACTTCCACAATTACAGGTAGTAGCACTGCCTTGCATTCAAGCATGCGCTGGCCAAAAGTGGCAAAACAAATATAATTCACACATTATATATATATATATATATATATATATATATATATATATATATATATATATATATACATATTGTTTGAGCCAATTACTGCGGAGGGCACTCTGGGAGTGGCTCTACTTAGAGGTTAAAGGTGACCTAATCAAGCAACAGGTGTGTAGCTTTGGAGACAAGCGTTTGACCGTGCAGGATAGTGTAGGCATCAATATTCTTTGAGTTTTGGTTTTATTTTCTCTGCCTTTTTACTTTAATAAATGGATCAGCATATCCAAACATGTATTTTGGACTGCCATACCCGGTATATATATATAAACATATATATATATATATATATATATATATATATATATATATATATATATATATATATATATATATATATATATGTTTATATATATATATGTATGTATATATAAACATATATATACATACATATATATGTTTATATATATGTATATATATATATTTATATAAATTTATATATAGATATAGTTTTTTTTTACAGATGTACTTGTCAGTCTAGGTACGTCCACAAATGTGTGTGCACACTCTGTGATTGACATCTGTATGTACGCAGATGTCTAAAGCTAGTGGCTAATGCTGAGCAGCTCTCGATTCAAATTGTATGGGGCTCTGTGGGACGAGGGATGGGCTTAACAAAAACGTTGATGCTTATATATAAGCATAACCCTGTACTGTGATATTATTTAGGCTTTAGCCTAAATAATATCACAGTACAGGGTTAGACTATCACATTACAGAGTACTAAAAAAATCATACATAATTCCTGAAAGGCAAAAAACACCAGATAGCGGGTTGGATTGGGGGGTAAAACCACCAAATAGTTCCCGAGCGCATCCACAGCTACATCAGATGGGTCAAATGCAGAAATGAATTTCACCAGTGTGTGATGACTGGAGTGTAATGAAAGGAAGCGCAGGTTTCTCATCGTATATTCCCATTCTACAGTCTAAAAATGGTTATAAATGCGATAAAAAAAACAGCAGAACTTTTTCTATGAGGAAACACTTTACAAATTTAGTTTTTTGTTTTAAATTAAAATTGGCCCCACGACAGAAATACCCATACACTTAAGGAAAAGAATGTCATTTTCTGCCAGTATTTTACTTTTCAATAAATAATTGTCATTCTGTGGACAGAAATAACCAAATCATTGACTATTGGAGCTGCAGCACAATCCATGTGTCCATGTGGGATGTTTAGAGTTCATCATTAGAATAAATAGCTGGAATGTTTATTTTGATCCTAAGCTATATGAAAACTCATCACATCATAAAATCCCTGTGAAGCTGAGCATACCTCTGCAGTAGTTCTGCTCATCCGCAGTAAAACCTGACGCACACTGGATGGTGAGGCTTTGCTGGGGGAGCTGAGGCTGGTTTGGTTGGACAGCAGGAACCTGGGGTATCCGCTCAGGTGGTGTCCTCTCCTCTGGCTGGTCCACAGTAACGTAGATAACTGCGTTCTTGGGGAGGCAGAGGTATCCACCAAAGTGGTTCACACATTTCATCCCTCCTTTACAGGCATCTTCTAACAGCTCACACTCATCAATGTCTGACTCGGAAATGAGAGGAAAAAAAAGAAATCAGATGTTTTGCTTTTAAAAATGACAGCTTGCATCAAAGTAAGTGACTCACCTCTGCACTGCTCTTTGACTCTATCATACGTGTACCCCTCTGTGCACTGTGAAGGACACATTCACACGTCTGAGTGGGAAAATATGCAGAAAATCCTAAATACGTTCTATTTCACTGTATAATGTGCGGGTGTAAACACACCAGCGCGTGTTAAAAACAGGCTGATCGCACTCACTGAGTAGGTGATGGGCTCCTCGGTCTCCTGGGAGAGGACCTGTGTGAAAACCGCACAAAGACACACGCAGAAGCCCAACATGTCGACCAATCGTCGGAGAAGCACTGCAACAAGACGCAGACGGACCGAGTGGATAGAGCGTGCAAGATAATTTTGCTGCCTGACAAGCCTACAAGTTTTAATACCGGCTATTACATCACTGATAGCATTGCCTAACGAGTCCCAACACCTCCCGCTGCTGATGTGATGTTTATGTTGGCGGCGCTCCAGCTGAATGTGCGACTTCAAGCGAGTCAAGTGTTATTTTTTCTATTTTTTATTTCTTCTCAGTTGTTTTTCTTCGAAAAGGATTCGTGCGTAACACGCGTAAAAATCGTGCGTAAAAAAGTGCCAATCGGTGCCAGGGACGTGAAGGGGTTAATCAGCTGTGCAAACATGTCAAAACTTGTGATTTTTGAGTGATTCACGCGCATTAGTATAATTACTTTAATCCAATCGTACTCAGGACAGAGACACTTGTAATTAAGACAAGCAATAAAAATAAAGGGGAAAAGTTTATATTTGGGGTTTTTACTCAAATCTAATCACTGCTCACCCTGCCAGCACGCACAAGAAAGCTGAGCGGATCAGCTTTCTTGTCCCGAGGCTCTTTGGCAACATACCTGCAGCTACCTGCGGATATCCTGGCGCTTCCCGTGGCTGCAGATCCGGACGTGCGTAAATCTCGCTGATACCTCTCAAACTGCGCAGTGGACGTGAAATGTTTGACTGTAAACAAGCTTGTGATGAACATGCGGTGAGTACGGTACCGGGGTGCGGGGGTGGGGTGGGGGGTGGGGTGGGGGGGGTGTAAACCAGGCAGGTTGAGCTCCGGGGTTGGACCTCACACAGTAAAACACAGCTCCCTCTATAGCCTGATGAAAAGTGATTTGGGGGATTAGATTAGCAAAAAATAAAAATAAATAAAAACTTATATTCAAGCAAGTGCAGGATTTTTCGTTAGATACAAAAGGGTTTTACGCACGATTGTTTTGGCTCTTGCGAACTCTGCACAGTTTTGTGTGTTGTGTGAGTGGTAGCAGGTGCCAGTAATGTAACAAGGTACAAGTACTTTATTACAGTGCTGAAGTACAAATTTTCTGTATCTGTACTTTACTGAATTAGTTTTCTCAAGACCGACTTTTAACCACTCCACTACATTTTAAAGCTGTAATCTGTTCTTTTTACTCCATTACATTTTCCAAGAAGTGTCAAAGTAAAACTACTTTCATTAGCATTTTGAAAAAGCATATACATAGGTCAAAGATTCCTTGGATACTTTAACTTTTACTTAAGCATTTTTGCTAATACTTTACAATAAAGGATTACTTTCTTAATGTTACTTATATATTAAACATTGACAAACAAAGGATTCATTTATTCATGTTCCAGATATTGTTAAGTATTAAGTGTCCTTAAGGTTAGGACAAAGGGGGAGTGTCTGTTTGGTAATGCAAAACAAAATAACATTAATAATCAAACAGTTGTTAATTCTTTATTTAATAGTTTAGTAATGCTTAATAAGGCACTAAGTAACGTTAAAAAGTGACCCTTATTGTAAAGTGTTACCTTATTTCTTCCCCCCTTTTTCTGTACTATTACTTAAGTAAAAAATAAAATGAAGGACTTGTTCCACCACTGGCAGGTGCTGTAATCAGTCTCCTGTAGAGAAGCTCTGTTAGCGGCTACTACATTAAGCTGTAAACCATTTCATGTTGTTTACAAGATGACTTCGCTTAAGGAACATCTGTTGGAATTGGCACGGGTTTGTGGATTTCTCAGGGGGTGAAAAGACGGCGAGGGGTTGCGTGTTTGTGCGCGCCAGCAGCTTGCTGACATAAGTGGATTGAGTCTTGGCACAACCTCCTTTAATGCTGACCTTCTGACTACTCAGGAGGGTGTGAACAAGCAGGCTCGTGGGCAGATTCTGCATGGAACCACCTTTCTTAATGAGAAACCGATCTAAAATTTTGCAAGGTCAAAAGCATGAAATGTTGACATTTAAAAGCATTTTCTCCTCACTGTCCTGAAAGCTCACTATTACACTAGCACTAGCATAGATGACACAGAAAAATGAAAGTACAAATTTATTCTTCAATGAAACTTTATTTTACTTGGCAAACTACACACACAAAGACACGGAGATAAAACGTAAAGTTAATCAAAGTCTGACTGAGATTAGAAGAGGATTTTAGCCAACGCTGATAAGAAGATGAGAGAACTTTCCCCTCGGTCCTATTCCTCACCAGAACCAATTTAGCCAGAAATAAACCTGATGTGGGTGTGTCCTTAAGAGTGAATATATTAAAGTGTGACGAAAGACTCAAGATCACACGATTTTTCTCACACTTTGTTAAAAAAGGAAGAAAATCTAAAATTAATTGGGGAAAAACTGACTGAAACAAGTGTTCATGCACCAAAGGGTAAAAACAGCATTTTAATTAAAACAATTAACGAGTTTCATGTTCCACAGAGTAAACTGAGTTGGTGTTTTGTGACGTTTCTTTCGATGCTGAAGGCAATGCATCAGATACTGTTGACAGTTAAACATCAGCCAATCAGTTCCTGATGCAGTACAATCCACATCAGAAAGCTCTTCACTCATCCCAGCAGAAACCTAAAGACTTAAAGGCAACACTTTATGCAAAACTCACCTTTGGCGTCCTTTTCGGTTGCCATATGTGTCTCTACGGCCTCTCTAAACACTCCAAACGTGACAAAAATACACGTCTTTTTTCAGTTGCTGCTTGGTTTTTGGCATCATGTGCCTAAATTGAGCCATTTCAAAAAGTCCCCGCTTGTGATGTCAGAATCGGCATATAACCACCTCTCTCCTCTGCAGGTTGGAGGAGCAACAACTCTACTAGAAGCCCCTCACATATATCTGAGCTTCTCAGTTTATAGCCACCTGAGCGGAGGTGGGTGGGCGTGGCCAGCATCAGCTTGTTTCCTTAAAGTGACAGAGCCTTGAAATGATTCATTCTGGAAGGTACTGAAAATGTCCTGAATAAAACTGCTGAAATTGCTTTACGTGAGAGGGATTTAGTGCAAAGAACTTCATAAACATATTTTATATCAACGATTGACCTAATATAATGCATGATCATGACATGTCCTCTTTAAAACATGTTTTGCTCTATTTCCCTCCTAATCCAAACTCGTACAAACAAGACATCAATATTATTCTTTTGGCGCTATGATGACACAACAGCCAAAACTGTACAGTAGGCATCATCATAAGTCAGCATGGCAGCAGAAGCATCTGGATGGTGTTTTCATGCAAATTCAAAATGAGAAGGCACTATGAGGGAGCTGCAAGAGATGAGGCTGTACTTCAAAAAAGTGTCCAAAAGAAATTTAAAAAAAGTGCAGAAGGGGGTTTTGTGAGAGAAGGAAGAAACACAGAGAGCGCCTATGAAACGTGCTTGTGTAATCGCTGTGACATCTTCATTGAGAGCCCTCCATGTCCTTCCAGTGGTCTTCCAAAAGGGCGTTGTTGACGCTGGTCGATGCGTGGAGCAGCCGAGGCACCGTGTTTAGCATAATCCCAGAGGCCATTGTGAGAGCAGCTAGTGAACGACTCACAGTTGCCAGCTGAGATTTTACCAAAACACAGCAGAACGGGATGAAACAGGGAGAGAGGAGGGACTATCTCTGGTGATGGGTTGGAGAGAAGAAAAAAAAACACACACGAGGCAAATATTACCAAGAATCTGAGGAGAGACATTAAGTATATAGAAGCTGTTCCAGGGCTGGAGCATCAAAGAGGCACACGTCAAGTGTGAAACATTCTTCCTCCAGGTGGACCGCACCTGTTGGCCCTCATTCAGCACTGTAGTACAATAACCGACCTTTATCTTTTCTTTTCTACGTGACCAGTCACCAAACGTTTTGACTTGTAACAGCCAGGCGTGAAGAGACTAACTGAACTGGACACCTGGCAGCGTCTTCCCCAATGTGCAAAGACCGTTACCTTAAAACAGAGTGGGAAACCCTCTTTCGATGAGAGGGTGGAGTGCAGGCAAGACTTTGGTGAAGGATGACATCTCAACAGAGTAAAGAAATGCTCTGCAAATAATTCCTCGTAGCTTATGTCGGAGAAACACTGAAGAGGAAACAAGACTTTAAAGCGAACTGCAGAATCTCTCCAGGTGATTGTGAGAACAAACAGCATCATCACAGTTGCCTGCAGAGATTACCCAGTCAGCCTCCAGGTGTCTCAGTCGTGCCTCATCTAACACACACACACACACACACACACACACACACACACACACACACACACACACACACACACACACACACACACACACACACACACACACACACACACGCTGTCCTGTGGTGGGTGTGTTGTATCTAGAAGAGTCAATTGACAGCAGATGTCTGACAACAATCGGTATAAAGACAGCTCTGACCCCCACCTCCCTGCTGATCTCCCCAAGGTCTTGTGTTACCATGGCGATTAGGCCAAGGCACGTGCCTCACATTGTTGTGCCGTATCCTCCGGGGTCAACCACACACCCAGTTGGAGGTCAGAGGTCAGCCAGGCATCCCGCTCGGGTCACCACTTGCCAGCTTTCAGCCTTTGACCCCAACAACAACCTGGAACAAACTGAGAGATTGGGAGAAGGAGGTGACAAAACAAAAAACAATTCACCCAGCAGTTCTGTATTATCATGTATGGTACTTCAGGTGTTCAAAGTTCTGAAGAACAGTTTAGTTAAGAGGCAAGTGGAAAGTTGTCCTGTGTGGAATTGTATGTCTCCCTCTTGTGGTGGAATAATATACTTCAAAATGTGCAATGTTGGTTAGAAAAGATGGAAAAGCGAAGAAAAGTTACACAAACTAAAACAAAGGAATGGTAATCCAGGCTGAGGTTAAAAAACTTCTCATGAGAAAGTCGGTTTCAGCTGCAAAAAAGACAAAACTCTTAATTTTGTATAAATGACTAAGCTCCATAAGCTACAGATGTAAACACATGTCCAGACATTTTAGTACACCTTTAATCATTTTCTCTCTTTCTTTTAACCATTTAGCCCAGAAGTATGTTGGGATATTTGGGTCATCGAGTTGCAAAAGTGTTGCTCGGACGCTGACAAAAGAAAAATCTTAAGTTTATTAAACGGAACAGGCTGACAGGCCACACTTTGTTAGGCAGTGAATGAACAGAGTGGTTGTGACAGGCCTAACCTCTTAAGCTTTGGGTCCCACTGAGCTCAGCACAGCCAGAGCTAAATGCCATCTGTCCCAACATCACCAGCCCCCCCCCCCCCCCTCCCTCGACTTGTCCCCCAACACACAGTTTTCCCCAAAAAAAAAAAAAAAACACACATTAAGCTGCTATTAAGATAGAATTTAAGATCAGTCTAATCAAATCAAACTCCAGTTAGTAAAATGTGGACGCTGCACACATTTCCACTATAAATTTAGCAAACTTGACCTCTTTTGTTTACCACGAACGGTTAAATCTGCCCGTTTTCATCCATTAATCTCCAAATGTGAGTCATCTGTTCAGATTCTGAATGGATGTTTTCAGCTTTACAAACATCACAGATAATATTATCACCACGTGAACTTGAGCTTCCCTCCCTCTCCAGCTTCTGTTAGCTGTCATCTAACGTTACAAGCAGAAGAAACAACCTCTGTGCCCCATAGTGTGTCCTTTAGCACTTCATTAAAGTCCTGGACGTTCACTGTACAAGCAATTGTCCTTCTGTAACAAAAAGACTGACGCATTGTATCAGTTAGAGGCAGATTTATCAAAGGGGGCTGATACAATGGACACAACAGCCCAA